CTCTTATTTCTGCCGGAGGACCGAGGATCGAGGAGCGATAATGGAGGAGCGATAATCGAGGAACCACCAGTCCATCCTCCGATTAAATATATATTAAAATGTTAATGTGCTACATATCCACACAAACAAAGAATGTTAATCTAACTGGGTTTTGATAGATAATATATATCTTTTTCTTCTCTCAAATATTTTATTTCTATTGTGCACTCTAATCAATATTAATCAAACTATTGTTCGTTTGTACATTTTAAGAATGGCGTTTATCTTTTTTGAGAATGAGTTCTTATTTTATTTTATTTATATGGGTCTACAACAGATGATACACATGTTTGTGTCAGTAAATGTGTGGTAGGGGTGTTTGTGAAAATAACGGGGACAGAGCTGCTGTCAGACGAACAGCTGTGCGGCGTCATCACAAACGGACGTCGCTTCACGTGACGCCCCGGAGGAAAGGACGTCCCATTGCTCTTAAAACTCATTTCCCTGCTTCTCGTGGTTTCCTTGCGTCCCTCCATGCTTCCCTGGAGAGAGGGACTAAACACAGGGAAACGACGCAAGTGAGGGAAGCAAGGATTTAACTTAACCGACCTGAGACTGGGCCCATGTCTTTGACTCCTTCTGAGGACTCATGGTGCATTCAGGGACACTCTTACACTCCGTGACTCAATATGGTATTCATGCTGCATTCAGGACTACTCACACACTTTCTGGTCTTTGAGTCCTTGTGAGAACCTGTGAGGACCTGTGCTGCATTCAGGGACACTCACACACTCCCTGGTCATTGAGTCCTTGTGAGGACCTGTGCTGCTTTCAGGGACACTCATCTTTCAAAGTCATCATGTTTTTGACACTTTAATACAAAAAGAAGGTAAAAATATATCTAAGCCTCTTCTGGCTGATGTCATGAGTCTCTTTGTGACATCACACAGTGACATCACCTTGCGTCGGCCAATCAGATGTCTTCCTGCTCCGTTCGCTCTTTGGAGGACACCCACCTGCTGACGATCACTTCCTGTTGGCACAATCAAACTTTATTAACACAAGACAAACTTTGTCCTGCAAACAAATCAATTTATTCAACTTTTCTGTCGTTTATTGGAATTTCATTTAAAAATCTCCACATATTTGTTCATGTTTTATTCATTAATTGTTAGAAAATATTAAAAAAGCTGCTTGATTCTCAGTTTCAAAATATCCTGACTTTAAATATCTGCTTCTTTTTTTAACAGAATCAAACGCAGAATATGACGTGTGGATTAAAATGTGCTATTGAACTATACTCTTTGTACCTGAACACTGAGTCTGCTCAGACACACAGGTGAGTCCAGCTCGGCTTCTGATAGGCCGGTAGGATAGATGATGTAACACAGCATCAGCTCCTGGAAGACAAAACGCAGGGATCTCAAAACCTCCCCTGAAGAATCACAAACCCTGTTCGTCCCACGAACTCACGTTGTTACAGCGAAAGAGGAAATAAAGACAACACTATTACATAAAAGTTACCTTGGAGACGTTGGCTGTGATCCTGCTGAGAGCTGCGAGAGAACGCCATGAAAACGGACGTAACGCCGAGCCCCTGAAGGCACCATCAACCCGCTCAATCACCACAGAGTAACTACGGGGGAAATAACTCTTTTAAAGTGTGTGTGTGTGTGTGTGTGTGTGTGTGTGTGTGTGTGTGTGTGTGTGTGTGTGTCAACGGGCTTTATAGTCACAGGCTCCTCCAATACATAAGCGTCTTTGAGTTGACACAAAAAAGCGCGATATAAATAAAATGTATTATTATTATTATTATTATTATTATAAGAGAATGTTGCAGGTAAAGTGTGTGTGTGTGTTGTGTGGTGTGTGTGGTGTGGTGTGTGTGTTACCTGGCGTGGTAGAAAGGAGGTCCTTTCCTGTACAACACTGTAAACACAATTGGACAGTAAATCAGATACATCTTGGAACCTTATTTTTTATTGTGCATCACAGACAAGTTTTACACGTGTAAGCTGTCAGTTTTTCAAGATCCAAGTTTCAAGTCTCTATCACCATGTGCTCAGCAGCTCCAGGGGAGATATGGAGATGAGAAACTGAATTCCTCCTCCAACAGAGCAACATGAATATATATAGGACATAGAACAAATAAAATAGAAACAGTGCAAGAAGAGTCTATATTGTGGTGACTCTAGTTAACCATAATTCACTTTTGGGTCACAATTCCTA